GAAAGATCTATGATCTATGATTAGGCCAAAAGAAACCTGAGGCTTATTGTCTCCCAACAGTTAAAACTCCGCATGACTGTCCCAGATGTTGATGGCCATTTGGGCATGTATATGAGGCCCATGGCATTCAAAATACCCAAGATCTCTTTCAGGGGGGCAAAAGGCACTTCACTCTTCTCCTACTCACTTGATTCTTTTTCTGCAGTAATATTAAGCCTACAGGCTAATGAGAAAGTAGCAGGGGGGTGGTGCTTACTAATATTGTTGTCACATTAAATAAGAACGAAGATTTATTTCGCACACTTAGCTGCAGGGGGAATAACTTGCGACAAAGGCCCACTTACAAACATACAAGGTACGACCAAATCAAACAGGATAAAGAGATTATTCAATTAGCAAGGACTTAAAGTATAGAACAACTGACTGATACCAAATTATCAATCTAGAGATAGTAGGAACTGCAGATGCTGGAGAATCTGAGATAACAAGGCGTACAGCTGGATGAACACAGCAGGCCAAGCAGCATCATAGGAGCAGGAAAGCTGACATTTCGGGCCTAGACCCTTCTTCAGAAATGGGGGAGGGGAAGGGGGTTCTGAAATAAATAGGGAGAGAGGGGGAGGCGGACGGAAGATGGACAGAGGAGAGGATAGGTGGAGAGGAGACAGACAAGTCAAAGAGGCGGAGATGGAGCCAGTAAAGGTGAGTGTAGCTGGGGAGGTAGGGAGGAGATAAGTCAGTCCGGGGAGGACGGACAGGTCAAGGGGGCGGGATGATGTTAGTAGGTAGGAGATGGGGGTGGGGCTTGAGGTGGGAGGAGGGGATAGGTGGAGGTAGGACAGGTTAGGGAGGCGGGGACGTGGAGATGAAGAGGTTGAGGGAGGGTAGGAGGCCTTGGGGTGGTGTCCAGGAGGAGGGGGTGTGTTGGAGGCAGGAGAAGGGGTCAGTAGAGGGAGGGTTAGGCTCACGGTTGAAGAAGTAAGCGTGGAGGTGGAGGCGGCGGAAAAACTGCTCTATGTCCAAACGTGAGCGGTATTTGTTGATGTGTGGGTGGAGGGGGACAAAGGTGAGCCCTTGACTGAGGACTGACCATTCGTCCTCAGTAAGGGGGAGGTCTGGGGAGATGGTGAAGACCCAGCAGGGCTGAGTGTTGCTGTCTCCTCTGGAGCTGCTGGCTGTGGAGGCGGTGGGCGGAGTGACATCGGCGTCGGTTGTGGGCGGAGTTGCGTCGGCGGTGGTGGGTGGAGTTGCGTCGGCGGTGGTGGGAGGAGT